GCAACAGTAGACTTGACAGAGGAAGCTGTATTACAACAAGCAATAAAGGGCGAGGAAGAGCACCAAGAGGAAGAAGAAGATGAAGAAGTTGATCTGGGACCACGACCAACCATTCAACAAGCCCTATATTCAGTTAAGCTACTAGAGAATTTTTTTATGTATCATGGGGAAGATGCCCCTCTCGAAGAAATAGTGAAAATACAAGCCAAAGTACGAGATGCGTATGGGCATACTAAAAAAATTCAAAAGAAAATGACAGATTGTTTGAAACATACAAGTAGATGTTAAAATATGTATATAAAATATTTCAATATATATAAACTCATTACAACGAAAAAAAAAGCAGTCCCTATATAGAGTTTCGACTGTACTTTTTCTTTCTATACAGCGATTTTCTCGCACTTAACTCGTTTTCGTAGAGAATTTAACGAGATCTACACATATTTTGAGAAAATACCGTCGTAAAACTGGCGCATCCATGCTTATTAATGATGTGTCAGCGGCCATGTTAGTTGCGAAATGCCATAGGGTTATTGGTTAAAAAATCTCGCTCATGCGCATGTTAAATGAACATCCTAAAAATAATTGATTCATTATCAACGTAGGCAGTGCCTCTATATCTCTAGCAGTTATGGTATCCAGTTATCCATGTCATAAACAATATATCTAATAGATAATTTCATACCTAGGGTTAAATCGAAAGATTCACTCTTTTTCCGAAATCTTCTTAAAGTACTCTCTGTAATTCCGCAAGCATCTCAGGTTCGTTTTTGCACTCTCAACACACGCTCTAACGGACCGAAGTTGAACTAATTGAACTAATTTTTAAAACAAACTTCCACAGGCTACTGTAATACTTTTTACAAAAGTTCTGGATTCCTCCTGCGTCGGTTTTTGCTGAGTCGAAATTGCTGACGTTTCGCCAATCATCCTGTGGGCTTCTTCAGAGCTTCATTAAAACTGGCTCGCACCTTACCTATGCTCATCTATCTAATAATTTCCACATTAAAGATATTAAGCGTTCCATCAAAAATTACACTTCACCACAACCTTCCAATAGCAATGAGGCCGAAAGCAATCCTTCACTTGCCACTGTGGTCCTTCCTTACATTCAAAACATCACTGACCACATATCAAAAGATCTAAAGAAAGAATTCCAGATAGTCTATAGAAATCTATAAACAACCTAACAATCTTAACCGCGACTCAGGTCTCTACCTGTCACCAATTTGGGAATCAGTCATCCCCTCAAGCAGGTATAGATTAAAATACTCGCCAGTGTCAATCAAGCTCTGAAGAAGCCAACAGGATGATTGGCGAAACGTCAGCAATTTCATCCAGAAGTTTTGTAAAAAAAAATGTTGAACTAAATTACTTTCACCTGGAGATAGACTATTTTCATCTTGCACAAAATTCTCCAAAACTTAAAGTTGCTGCTTTCCTGAATCAGAAATGATTAAAACCAGAAGGCAGCTAAACAACAGCCAGCGGACCAGTGTAATTTCGGTTATGATAATGTACATCGAAAGCGGGGGTATACCTACTTTAGCCCACTATTGCTTCCGGTTTTAATCCGATTCCGTTCATCATTTATCGGGCGGAGTTTATTAAACAATTTATGCACGGTCGCATCTTCGGTATATATCAGCAGTAAATCATGCAAATTCAATTTAGGTTCTATACATTGTTCAAAGAAATTCTGAAAAATGAACAAACACGAGGATGTCTCCACACTTTCGATTTAACACTTGAACCGTAATGGACTACACCAAAATATTTATTATTTATTATTATTATTATTATTATTCCTTTAAAAAATGGATTCATTAATCTGTACAAAATATGAAATATTTTCGGAACACGGATTGTTTTACCCCGTTACTGCTGGCAATTATTTTAATTATTAAATAAATGTTTTCTAGCAGTGTGTGGAAAACATAGTTAAACGGCTGGCTATGTATCATTACTTATCCAGTGAACTGCTAAAATACGGAACAATTCATTAATCACACGTCCATCATAATTTTTTCTTGCGTATTTGCAAACAGAAAATATACAGGGTAGGTCAGAAAGTAAACGTATTCTATCTCTTATTTTTTACAGGGAAGCAACGAGGGCCAGTAACGTTCTTAAATAGTTACGACTACAATTCTGTCAGTAAAAAAAGTGAATATGGAGCATCCAAATGGAACTCAGAGAATTGAAATTTTTATTTTTATTAAATATGGAGACCAAATCAGAACTCAAGAAGAAGTTTGTAATTTGTTTAATGCAAAATATCCAGAAAGACTCATTACGTGTTTCGCAGTGAGTAAAATTGAGATTATAGAAACAGAGCATGTTAAAGACATTTTATTATACATTTTATTAGGGGTTAAAAATGATGCACATTGAGTTCTTGATAATATGCTAATCAGTTTAAAATCTCTTAAAAAACATTATCCAGGTTAGTTTCATTAATTTGACCTTTTTCCTATGTAATTCTAAATTTCAAATAATCTAACTTTTGTGTGTTTCATGTTGTTTTTCCATGATTTTCTTGCAAAAGAAATACAACATTGTAGTTCATCTTCTACCTATTCGACTGTGTTTCTCACCAGCTTCTTATTAAAAAGCTATACAGATATGGTATACGAGGTCTGCCCTTAGATCTTATAGCGTCCTACTAGCAGGGCCGACAGCAGTTTGTAGAATACCAGGATGACCGTTCATCACTTAAATCAGTAGTAAGCGGGGTGCCCCAGGGTTCCGTCCTGGGCCCGCTACTATTTACAATCTACATAAATGATCTTTATCATTTCTTGGCCCCCAATCAGTGCGTGATGTTTGCCGACGATACATCCTTCACTACATCTGCTAAGAGTATCGAGGAGTTGTCCGTTAGGGTTGGCATGTTGGAGGACAGGGCTAATGTCTGGTTCGAAAATAATTATCTTAAATTAAATTTAGACCAGACCCAGAGTATTGTGTTTTCCTCCAATTGCTTGGTAAATAGTGGACAGTCCGTCAAGTTGCTTGGCATTAGGATCGATGATAGTCTAAATTGGAAACAACATATCTCAGACCTGAAAAATAGATTGTCCAGCAACATATTCGTTCTTCGACGACTGAGAGGCCTGATAGGAACAAGGACTCTGCTTATGGTCTATTTTTCTTTGTTGCATTCACAGTTATGCTATGGCACGGTACTGTGGGGTGATTCCTCAGCTGCTATGGAGATTTTTAGAATGCAGAAAAGGGCCATTCGAGTCGTTGCTAATATAGGATATAGGGACCATTGTCAACCTTATTTTAAAAAATTCAAAGTGATGCCCCTTCCTTGCATCTATATCTACTACCAGTTATTAGAGATACAGAGAACGAAACGAAACTTTAGCGCTAATTCCGATTGCCATGCCTATTCAACTCGTTCGGGGGATCTCCTTAGACGGCCTAGGTTTAGACTGAGGAAGTCTGAGAACAACTCATTGAACCTGAAATTGTATAATGTTTTGCCAGGTACCGTGAAAAAGATGAGCAATATAAAATTTAAACATACTATTAAAGAATTCCTACAACGTCATTGTTTTTACTCCCTGCGAGCATACATTGACACTGTCACTGGTATCGATGCTCTATAAAACTGTATAGTACTGTCTAATTTTGTTTGTATTAGATGTGTGTTTTTATGTTATTTATTAATTTGATTTTATTGCACTTGAATATCACTTCTGACTTGCTACAATTGTACGTCCCTTTTGTTCGAAACGTAGTCAATAAATGAATATATCTATCTATCTACTCCAGTTAGTTCCATTTCACAGTTTATCAAAACGATTCACAGATATTCAAGTTACAAGATACAAGTTAAATATACAAAAACGCTTATGCCTTGTACATTTTTGATTTTAAATATCCCCAGAGGAAAAATCCAGTGGAGTAATATCTCCATTCTCCTTTTAGCAATCCACTGTACGGCAAATACCATATTTAAATGTTCACGCATTTGTCGAGCACAACCCTGCTCAAAAAAATCTTTTCATCTGGCATATCATACTGATTTGGATATTGAGAAGTAACCGCGAGAATAGGAATTAAGTCATTATGAAACAATTATAAATATCGGGCTCCAGTAAAATTTTGATTGAAGAAATAAGATTCAATAATTTTGTTGTGTATGATTTTCTCTCATTAATCATTGATAATTTGTACTCCAATACCTACATTTTTGTTTATTTACAGTACCATTTAAACAAAAATTTGACGATGAAAACATGGTTAGGTTGTACATTTCCATCATAGTTTCACAAAACTGTAGTCTGCGATTAGTTTTGTGATGTTTGATGATGATACTTTTCTTCTTTTAATACATGCAAAGCTGTTCGTTAGCTAACACCTACTTCAGAAGATGCACTATGGGGGTTATTCTCAAGTTCTAATAGAATGTTGAATCTCGTGTTCTCATTAGATTGTGTACGATCTGGCTGTTAATGATCCTTTACATAAACTCTCAAATTTTCTTCCAATTACTACAGTTCTCGATTTGTCTCTATATTTAATAAAAAATTAAATTTAAATTCTCCGTTTTTTTACCTTTATGCGCCATATTAGTTTTATTTATTGATAGAAATATAATAAAATCAGTTTAAGAACTTTAGTTTAATTTACCTATTTATCATTATCAATTAATTTCTGTTTCTAATTCTTTTGCTCATAAAAAGTAAGAGATAGGTGTATAGAATATGCCACAGAAATATGTAAAAAAATATAATGTCCCTTTAAAAAAAAAAAGGAACTTGCAAAACTTATTGCAAAAAAGGCACAAAAATATGCTAGAAAATGGCGTTCACTGAATACTGAACAAAGAACAAAATCCAGTCTAATGCAGAAATGAAATCCTGAAATCTGCAAATTTAGTATTGTGGATACACTTGATCCACATTCAAATGCCAGGTTCAAGCCTGGCATAATTATAAAAAAATGGGCACCCAGATCTAACTCATGCTTAACGGTGTTGGCAGAACCATCTGGAACGAATCGTCGAACGACCTGGCAAAGCGATTCAGCGCCACCCGCCGCTGAGTAGGATGGAAAGCGGATCTGTAACAGCTCAAGACATGTACGACAATCTAATAAGGAAGCCCAGTCCGTTTACCACCATTTTCGAACTGCGTGAGGGCGGCAACAAAACTTTGGTTTCGAGGTAAAGCCTTTTTCCTCGTTCCTCGGCGTCTAGACGGGTGAATTGAAAAAAAAAACAATAGAATTATGCAAAATTGTTTCCCAGGCCATCGTCCTTTGACCTGGCAAATTCCACTCTGGCACAAATTGCGGGCTACGCCGCGTCTACGGGTCAAATCTTGAACATTGGAGACGTGGCGGCGTGGCTTAGTAAGAAACACAGCGAAGGGGATGCCGAATCGGCTAGAACTATTTTGTGTATGCCGATTTTAAACGGACAAAGATCGCTGATAGGTAGCTATAATATCACTCTTAGATTTTTTGGATTGCTGGAAAGATAGCTTTATTTCCATAAGACTTGATTTACAAGTGTTGGATATTGTCAGCATAATGTAAAAGTATAAATTTATCTTAGTATAATTAGTAAATTAATAATAATAATAAGTAATGCTGATGGATCAATAACAAATATATAAACAATAACAAAAAACGAATACGTATTAAAAGGTATCACAACAAAGAAAATCCTTAATATTGTAATAGGCGAGGCGTAGCAGTTTGTCTTTAAGAGTGCATTTGAATTTTGTTTGACTAGTTATCTCCTTCAGTTCGATAGGCAATTTATTATAAATTTTTACAGTCAAAACAAAGGGACTATTTGCTGTAAGAGACAGTCGATGTGTTGATATTTTTATGTTAAGATTCGGTCTTAAACTGTACTGAATATCTAAGTTTCTTGAGGGCATATAAAGATTAGAGTTACTTTTTAGATACTTGGCACCATTTAGTATGTACATGCTAGGAAGTGTCAATAAAGAGTTTTGTGGAAATAGGTTCCGACATGAAAAATTCCAGGGCTTAAACAGTATAGTGCGTATTAGCGTTTCTGCATTCTAAAGACTTGCTCCGCACGTGGGGAACCTCCCCAACAAACCAAGGCGTAGTTGAGACACGAATAGACATACGAAAAATAGTACATTTTTAACAAGGGGAAAGAAACCTGATGGCGGAGCCTCCATATGACAAAGCAGTAAACAGAAAGTTTTCTGAGAATGTGGTCCACCTGTTCGAACCAGGAGAGTCTCGAGTCTACATAAACTCCGAGGAATTTTACAACACTTTTCTGTTGAATTGTGCTTTCATTAAAGCGTATTAATAAACTCTTATTTAAATCCCGTGTTGAAAAGGCGATCGTCTCAGTTTTACTTTTATTCAATATCAATTTGTTAATTTCTGCATAATGTTTCATTTGCTCAACCGTTGTCTTGATTGCAATGCTAAGTTGCTCAGACGATGCTGCAGAAAGGGTAGAAACTGCATCATCCGCAAAAAGGTAAAAGTAAGTATGGGGGCAAGATGAAAATACATCATTTATAAATACTATAAACAATAAAGAACCGAGTAAACTTCCCTGAGCTACACCACAATTCACTGACCTGGAATCAGAGACGTATTCAAATCCTAAGGTATCTCTCAATTTGACCAACTGCGTACGACCCCCAAGAAAAGACCTTAACCAATTTAAGGTGTTACCTCTAATACCATATGAATATTATATTAGATGTTTCAAAAACAAAGCAAGATAATAGAGGGTAGTTTATTATATAAACGTTGGGTCAAACAGCAGCCATTAGGGAGATATTAACTTTTTAATTTTTATCTTAAAAACGCAAAGAAATTAATAAAACTTACTATTATAAAAACAAACTTTCCGCGCATTTTTCACTTTTTCATTCTTTATAGATTAATTTAAATAACAAATATAGTCAGATGTACACTGTATCCCATTTTGGTTACGACTGAGGAGTACGTCCGTTGTTGGTGATGATACAGCTTTGCCTTTCCGCAAACTTTTAGAATTTTTTTGTGCAAGGATGGATGAGGTTAACAAAATTTTCATGACTTCCTTAGTTTTTAAAATACAGGTTGATTTTGGGAATTTGAAGTTTTGGACACGCTTCGCATCTCGGGGTACTCTATGTAATAAAGTTCGGTTTTCTTGAAAACACCCCATAAAGATAAATTATTATTAAACTTCATGAGAAGAGTTACTCCTGGCAAAATATTGAAGAAATCCAAAAAAAGCCGTGTTGAATGCCCTTACATTTCGAGGACCAATTAGAAATGTTCCAAAGAAGCGACGTCCCAAAAAACCTAGCAATTGTTGGCATTTCTAAAGCAGACCCTCACAAATCAGCAGTTGCCATTTGAAAATAATTTTTTTGTGGAAAATCCAAGAGAACTTAGTGTTCGAAGTGTTCGCAATCATTTGAACTAGGCATAATTCTTTGGCAGAGTCCCAGGAGAAAAGTCTAATCTATCCGAAATGAATCGAAGGAACCGTTTGGAATTTGTTAGGCATCATTTTAATTGAAACGTACAACTATGGAAGCAAATTTAGTTCTGATGCGAAACGTTTGATTCGGCGTCCGCGAAATAGTGAAATTTGGAGGTGGTTGTATAATGGTGTTGGTCCACTCTACAGAATAACCAACACCATGAATCAGTATGAATGCAACCTTAGGCAGAAGAAAATTTCTATTTGAAATTTTTTCTAGAATTATGCTATTAGAATCACTTCCTGGCTACAGGATGATGATATAGATGTTTTGCAGTGGCCATCTTGGACCCAGACCTTTACTCAATAGAAAATCTATTGTTTATCATTAAATGAAAGTTAGATTCAAGAACTTTCGAAAATTTCGACCAACTATTCGAGAGTATGAGACTTGCAGACGTCTAATACAGTCCATGCCTGGGAGATGTTTGGAAGTAATTGAAAGCAATGGATACCCAAATAAAAAGAAGATATTAGATAAGAAATGACGACGAAAAAACAATCCCAATAAATTTGAGAAATATATTAGAGAATGGAATTATTGTTTAAACTTATGATTGTGCCTAATATGCAAAATAATAATAAACATACATCCTAAAAATAGTAACAGTGATACGGTATTCGAAACATCTTCAACAAATTTCTTAGTACCAACGATTAAATTATCGTATTGTTAAGTCTGTTTTCGAAAAATTGTTGTCTTTTGTATATTATTCACAAAATTTTTTTTCCATGTCAATGTGTAAGTTTATCAGGGGTAATTTAATCCCCTTTATTCATTCTAGGAAAGTGAAAACATATGCAAAGAGTGTGTTTTTATAATAAAAATATTTCAGTCAAATTGAATTGTTCTATCTTTATTCATTTTCAAGATATATATAGCTCGATATCTCTCTTGCGGTTAACTTTTGTTCCAAAGTTGATATAGTAAACTACTTTATTTGTTATAGTTAGTACTATGCTTACCATTTTAAGTTTTTCACATTTCCTTTGATACTCTCTGTATAAACAAAAAATATAGTAGACAACCTCTTACAGTGTTACACCTTTTGGTTTATGAAAAATGAGGTAGAATTGTTCCAAAAATTTCGCCCTTTAAAAAAGCGACGAACTGACATAATTGCCTTGTACATTTACGGAGCTGATTACCAAATAGTTAGAAAACTTTTCTAAAGTGAAATATATAGGTCTATAATGTGTTTCTCTAACTTTAAATACGGATAATGTATTTTGATGCAATTTAGATTGTTATTGATCTTCAGTGTACATATAGTAGGCCTAAATCATAATAATAATAATCATAATAATTTTATTCACGTACTGATATACAATGGAAAGGACGCGGTTCGGATGAACAAAATAAGATATTTTGTGCCTCCGTTTTTAAACCTATCCTAAGAAGAAGGTAGCAGCGCTGGGCAGGAAAAATAGACATAAAAAAATAAATAAATACCTAGTAGGATCTGTGCAAATAGAGGGACTTACACTTTGGAAATAGTTTACAGTAGACATTACTTAAATATTTAAAGATAATAATACTTCGCGTAGGTGTGTGGAAAAGGTATTGTTTAGCAATTTAAAAGACTGATCCAATGTAATGTAAAGGATCTTTCAAAAATTCCAGAGTTGTGACGTGGAGGGTTGAGCAGGCCATTAAATCTTAGATTTAAATTGTGAACGTCCGTGCGAAAGCTAATTTTTTTGAAAAGATAGCGTGGAGATTTATATCCTATAAGTTTGTGATAAAGATTACATGGAGATATCGTCGATTTTTCATATTAAGCCATCGGACTTCCTTCAGTTTATGACTAACAGGCTTGCCGCGTTTAATCCCAAAAATGAATCTTAGACAGTATTTCTGGATTTTTTGAATCCGTTCTGAGGCACCCGCTGTCAGACATGGGCCATAGACGACATCACAGTGGTTAATAGAAGATAAAACTTACACAGGACCTTTTTTAATGATTGATTTAAAATATTTTTAGAACCATATAAGTATTTTAAGTGAGCAATGGATTTTTTAATACATTCTGTAATGTGAGCATAAGCCCAAGGTTTTTTTGATTGCCTCCGTTTTCAGAGGAATGCACACATTCGATATTTTTATTTCATCTAGGTGCGATAATCGATCAAAATCCACGGGCCTACCAAAGAACATTGCTATAATTTTTTTTGGATTTAGATGGAGTGAATGTTCTAGGGACACCCCGTTAATGATTTCTAGATTATTATTTATCATTTGACAGCTTTCCAAAATTTTATCTCCCGAAAATGAGTAATAAACTTGTGTATCATCTGCATACATTACAACATACATTACATACATACAACTAGGAAACGCGGACGTATATATAAAGTATAAAATTGGCTCCAGAATGGCACCGCAGATATTATAGCCCGGCAGTCTGATTACTGTCCATTTAGAACCACTTTTTGTGTACGACCTTGTAAGTAGTTCTCCATAAACTCGACAGCACCCTCATCAAGGCCTATGTATTTTAGAATAGTTAGCAAAGTATGGTGATTCAAGGTATCAAACACCTTGGAGTAATCCAACATGACCAAGATGGTAAATTTGGCTTCGTCAATTGTGCGGAATAAATTATCAGTGACGTTTAGGAGAGCAGTTGAACAACTATGCCCCTTCCTGAAGCCATACTGAGTTTCAGGGAGAATACCATTTTCCTCCAAATGATCAATCACTTGACTAACTTGTCTATTTTATATTGTACAAGAAGTCTTCAAGGAAGGACTATAAATACAACCCTAACTAAAACAAATAGCTAGACAAGCTTTATCCACAAATTTTTAAAAATTTCATTACCAACATCGCTGTATCTCAATTACAAATCGCTTAATATGTATAAGTAATACAAATTAAAAAATACTGAGTAAAAGAATTTAAAAGTTGGAAAACGTATATATTATTTTTAGAAATTCATTTCTATAGTTATAGAATCTATTCGTTAGGTGTTGCTCAGTTAATCAACAAGGAAAACGGCAGCCCTTTCACGGACGGCGACGTTTCTTTATTCGAAGCGTTCGCCATTTTTTGCGGTCTGGGCATCCACAACACGCAAATGTACGAGAACGCTTGCAAATTAATGGCTAAGCAGAAAGTAGCTCTTGAATGTTTGTCTTATCACGCGACCGCCAGCAACGAAGACACAGCACAGTTGCTGAAAGAAGATATCCCGTCAGCTGAAACATTTAACTTGTACAGGTACGATACTGCACTTTTCACACCCCGAAAAGGGTTTAGTTTTTGGGTTTCTTCGACAGCTAAGAAATTAAAAAAAAATAATTAGCTTTCTTGGAGTTTTGATGATACCATTAATACGAAAATCATCAAAATACGGAAATATTTTAACTAGTTACTATCCGTCTCAGTTTGCAAGCTTGAAAAGTAAGAATTTTTTTCTGATATAAATAAATACGGAGTAATATACACAACGTTTAAAATAAGTAATAACTTTTCAGTGGATAATTTAGAATTCAAATTCAATTTACTTATTTCATATAAAAATTTCTAACAATATCGGTTAACATTATAATAAAACACACACAAATAACAACTATGTACGATAGAGTTTAAATATTACCCAAAATAAAAAATTGCTTTTAATTTTTCTGAAACAATTTATAATTTCTGTATTGAAAGTCATAATTTAAGTAACAAAAAGATTCATTTTACTCTATTACCAGAGTGGCTAGTTGTGGTTAGTTTTCTTTAATTTATAATGTTTTTAATGTGTTAAAATGTTGAACATACGTTGAATGTTGAATATACTCTTAGAGAGTCTTATAAGGAAAAAAACACCTAGGAAAAAAGCTCGGTATCTTCTTAATATTTTCGAGACCACAGAATTTGCCACCCACAGTATCTCGCACTGGCTTGTATTACTTAAATTTTTCGTAAATTATTTCTTGAATTCTTTGTCGTTTATTGTTTCTGTTGTTACAAATTCAATTTTAAAGGTAGCGTCATCCACAAAGAACTACAGGGATATTTGTGTTTGTTTTATAAAAAAAGTGCACGTAGATGAGTATTAGAGGAAAGTATGACAATGGTGAAGTTGAGTACTACCAGTGATACAACAAAATATAACTTTCGCATAGTAAATTCTGACGTATTTTTCACAAATCCTGATTTGTCTCTCAGAAAAATTGAAACCCATTTCTGATTAGGGTGATCTCTCAGAGCCTTCGTGGTTAGCACACATAAAGATCAATTTTGAATATCTGAATACTGATAGGCAAATCTATGTTGACAAATTGTCACAACCAATATTCTGTTTGTGCATCTGAAGCCTGCCTTTACTGTTTGATCAAAGGGGCCCGTATATGAATGCCATCCAAAACTAACCTTTATTATTATAGGCCATAGGTTTAGCAAAGTTATATTCCACTAAATATTGAGAGAGCTGAGACAACAAAGACGTTTAATTACACAATAATTCTGTTCCTTTCCGTCCAAATAACTTCAAAGGATTTCCTTCCACTTTTCTGATGTTTAAAAGTTTAAAAAACAAAAATCAGACCTTGAGATCTTTTTGCAGTATGTTTCGCGTCTTTAAATTAAAATGTTTATTAAAATAAAACTTATTTCTAAAATTTTTACGAAGAAATTTCCAGGATACTGAGAAGCCTAAAGAAAATTTTCTCCAGCCTTTCATTTTTTCCCAAAATTTGGGGCACAGTCTCATAAGCGTCTCCGTCATTGACCGTCGATCTTCGTTTTTGTTTCAGCTTTACGTTCATCGATTTCGATTTATCGAACGACGACACGTGCAAGGCAACTATCCGAATGTTCCTCGAATGCAATCTCGTGCAGCAATTTCATATTCCGTACGAGGTAAGACCGTTTCCACACTCTGATGTTGTTTTAAGTTGGCTTTAATATAAATTGGCTTCGCCTTTGAAGCCGCCGAGGTGCTCCGAAAAGCTTTTAGATATTTAAAAGGCCGACGTGATAGTTATGGGTAAAGTGTTGAGCTAGCCGCTAAATCCTTCTATTAGAAATCGTGCTCTGCTCTTCAATCATGAAAGCAAACGATTATGGAAAATATACACAGAATAATTTGAAGAAAATGTGATAAGTTAATATAAAGATATTTCTTCGTTTCGTTATGACGAAAGCCTAAAATTAGTTTTTACAGCTCTGTTAGTATTAGCGTCAAAATAATATGTGCCATTGCGTAAAGGTATTTATCCCAGGTTTTTATATATAATATTATATTATATTGATGATCTATTCTATGTGACGTTGACAAATTAATTTTTTCTAGGTGAATGGCACTATTGATATTTGGAAGGAATAACGACCAGTATCATATTGGTGCTAAGTCGAGAAATATTCGTCATTTGTTTTTGTATATTTGCACAAATTAAATTAGAACAAAAAATGTTCAGAACTTCACAGTTTTCAATATTATATGACAGCTGTTTCAGCAATACCGTGCCTTTATCAAATACAAAATATAACTATATTCCGACACTTATATATAAAAACAGGTAGTAATGCATTTTTAATTATAGCTATTGGGTTATAAATTTATATTTAACAACGGAAACGCATTTAAATCCTATTGGTCATTTAGTAATAAATTTGAATAGCTGTTAATCTCCGTAGCTTCCAACAAATTTAGTATTTTGCTTTTTGAATGATTATGTAAAATATCAAAATTATCGTCAAAGTTGTGCATTTCTGAATTTAAATGAATGGCATAGTTAAAATCTGAACTTTTATTTTTATACGCCCTTTTATGTTCCTTAATGCCTTTCTTAAATGTTCTACCTGTTTGTCCGATGTAAATTTTGAAACAAGATCAACATTTCAACTTATAGACTCCGGATTTTTGAGTTTTTCGTAATTTAGTTTTATTGTTTTTTAGAAAATATCCTTGATGTTTTCCGTTTTAAAAGCAATATTAATACCAAATTTAGATAGATGTTTCGAAATTTTCTTGCTAGTTTCTCCTATGTTTTTTATTGTTTTATAAATTTTGTTTTCGGTGATTAATATGGGATAGATAGAGTTCACTGTAATCTGAAACTGCTTTTTAGTTAAAATCTTATCTATCAAAGAGGAGTCGTAACCATTGTTAAAAGCTATTTATAATATTTAATTATTTTTCAAAATTTTCTCTAAAAAGTGGTACATTAAGTAGCCTGTTGATAAAAGCATAAAAGGCAGACATTTTGTGTATGTAGGGGTGGTTTGAGTAATTATGTATTATTGTGTCCTTGTGTGAGGGTTTATGGTAAATAGAAAAATCTAACTTGGTCTGTACTTTAGTTATAGTTAAGTATAGAAAGTTTAGAGAGTTACCTTGTTCCGTCTCTATGGTAAATTTTATGTGGTTATGTATCGAGTTAATATGATTCAAAAAGGGCTGCAGTTGCCTTTCGGTTCCAGTAAAACATCATCTACGTATCTATACCACCAGAGAAATCCTTTACTCAGAGGATATTCATGTATGATATTTTCTAAATTGTCCATGAAAATCTCTACAAGTAGTGGTCTTAGTGGCTTTCCCATAATTAATCCTTCTTTAGTAATATAAAATTGAACATTAAATTCATAATAATTTTGATCTAAACAAACTATTAAACTATCTAGCAAGTCTTGTTTTATGACAGGGTTAACTTGTCCCAGGGTGAGAATACTGTTTATCATGTTTATTACGTCAGTTGGTGGAATGCTAGGAAATAAGTTTTGAACATCAAATGAAACTAGAATTGCCTTTGGAGGAATTTTTGTCTTTAACCTTGTTAATTAGTTTATCAAATGAATTTTTGATAGTATGTCTAGGTTTAAAGGCACTATTATATTCCAAAATTTTAATTAATCTTGTTGAAAATTTAACTGATAGTGCTGTTATAAAAGAAACTACAGGCCTTATTGGCATATGCCGTTTGTGTAATTTAATTATCGTCATATTTTAAAGCGTTTTCTATAAATTTCAGCTATAACAGACCGATAAGTTAAAACGCTCTGTTATTTTTAATTTAATTTACGTTTAACAATTTTTGCTACATCAATTCCGCAACAAATGACGTAATGTCAAAAAGGAAGAAGAAGAAGAGGCGCGTAGTAGAATTTAATTGGCTCCCGAAAATTAAAAGCAAAAAGGAGTTTTTCGATATGACTGTTATAATTTTTTTACATAAATCTTAAAATATCAGATAGGACAGTACGCGATTCTTCTTCTTTTTCTTCCTTTGCTGACATTACGTTTTGCTGCAGAATTGATCAAGGTTCTGCGATTTAGGACCCTCGGTAAGCCCGATAGATGGCGCAGTAATCATTAGACTTGAATTCAATAAAAATAAAAATTTTGGAATCCCTACAATTCCAAATAGATGTAGAATCTACTCATAAATATTCTTCACAGCATTTTGTAAAACGCTATACATTATTTTCTTAAGGCAACACATATCTAGAGTAGGTTAATTGATGTATGTTGTCGCATTTACTTTTTGTGCTTTTTAGGTATTATGCAGATGGGTGCTTAGCGTGAAGAAAAACTACCGCCCTGTAAAATACCACAACTGGAGGCACGCGCTTAACGTAGCCCAAACGATGTTCGCCATGTTTAAAACGGGGAAAATGGAAAGGTAACCGTTAAGAAAAGTGTTTATCAAATTTTAAAATGTCCCAGTTCATAACAAATCGCTCGTGTGCGTGTATGGACTTGTAATCCGGCGATCTTAAAACGTGAAAATTCGAACGTTACACTTAACTAACGGTCCGTCTGTTTTCAAATCAATCAACCCTTTACAGATTCATGAGCGATATCGAAATGCTGGGACTGTTGGTTGCGTGCCTCTGCCACGACCTAGATCACAGGGGTACCAACAACGCGTTCCAGACCAAAACCGAATCCCCGTTGGCTGTTTTATATTCAACTAGTACGATGGAACACCACCACTTCGACCAATGCGTCATGATACTAAATACCGACAGTAACAACATTTTTCAAGTAGGTGGCAACAGTGACTATATTAGATCCCTCTAACGGTGAGGCAAATCAAATTTTCAACGCACGTGAACAATGCTACCACATATGAAATTGATAGCTCCATCTATCTCTTCATTATTGAAGCAAGGTCTGGAATAAGCGATTCTTATTGAGGCAGTTTTCTAAAACAATTACTTGCAAAATGAAAAACCTTCATGCCGCAAGTGTTGAAATTTCTATGTTGTTGCTGAAGAACTGCGACGACAATAGAAAGGCAAATTATTGTCTTACTAGTGTTCAAAATGGCAAATAATAACATGATAATGTCAACATGAAGTTCTGCAAAATTATTCCATGAAAACAGTTTGCAATTAAACCGTCCAATACGTATATAAAAAACTATATTACGTTATCGAACTATTCTATAACGACCTTATTGCTTTCGCCAAGCAAAAAAACTTATTCGATCCTTTGCAGTGATATTGTGCTTTAGCTTACCCCTTACCCTAAAATAAATATTTGCATTGCATTCCATTTGCAATATTACAATACAAAGAATCATACAAGACAATTTTCTTTGGGAAAAATTTGTGACGATTGTTGGTATTTATCTATATAATCGACTGTCCCATAACATTTACAAATAAACTTTCGATTAGAATAAAAAAAAAACATATACTCACAACCATCATTTAAGAACTAAAAATATTTTTCAGTTGGATGGTTTAAGAGTCCTGTAATATAAAAAAGTACTAGACATAATGGAAGTTATCTTTTGCATTCTCTTACTCAATAGCTTAAAAATTGTCGAAAAAGAATCCGAATTTGATAATAAGCTTTTATGTATTTTTCTGCATCTGCTTAATTTGTTTTCTATTTTGTGATTATATTTTATATATTATTTATTATTTCTTTAAAACATATGTTAGTCAATATTGTTTATTTTGTTTCCATTTGTCTCTTTATATATCTTTTTTAAATAAAAATGTATCTGGTGTTCTCTAGATATTCATAGACTCTTAAATGCTGAGATCAAAAAGTGCGGACAACCATTTTGTATGCAGGTAAAAACTTGAGGGAATTTCGGGCTGACTATTCCTTAAACAGTGCTGGTAAAAAGCTGGAGATAATGAAACAAGGTGTGCTTCTTAGGCGTTGTCACCGGAAGATTATCGAAGGGTGATGAAGTTAGTGGAGACGGCCATCTTGTCAACCGATTTAGCCATGTATTTCAAGAAGCGAAACAAGTTCTTAGAAATCGTCGACAATGGCGAATTCGATTGGCAAAGCGATGACAAAAAAGAACGTAAGTTCTTTGTGGATCGGAAGCGATACATTTAAGGAAACCGCTTCATTTCAGTACTGTCGGGGATGATGATGACCGCTTGTGATGTTAGCGCGATAGCGAAGCCTTGGGAAGTGCAACACAGGATGGCCAAATTGGTGGCGGACGAATTTTTTGATCAGGGAGATATGGAAAAAATGCAACTCAAGGAACAACCAATTGTAAGTTTACAGTTGCTTAAACTCCTCATCCAATGAATATGCACTAATAGATTTCTTTGAATGTTGTCCAGCCCTGTCTCAACTCGTGCCTCTTCTCAATTCGTTCAAACAGTTTATTTTGTTTGTTGACACGTCTTACAATTAGGAATTTTTATGCAAAGACACAGAAGTTCCCCGTCAAAATGTTCACACGGCTCTTGATTTATTTTAGGCTATGATGGACAGGGAGAAGAAAGACGAGCTGCCCCAGATGCAAGTCGAGTTTATCGACAAAATCTGTTTGCCGTTGTACAGGGTGCTGTCGGAGACGTTTCCCTGGGTACAGCCGTTGTATCAGGGAACGATGGAGAATCGCAAACATTGGCAAGACTTGGCGGAAAAGGTCGAAATGGGTCTCACGTGGATCGACCACGATACGATCGATAAGCCCGTCGAAGCGTTCACCGGTATCAGTTACAAGAATTAGATAATTCGTTCACCAGTTTTTTCTTTTGTTCACTCGACATCTTTTTTATTAGAAAGTGTACTTTGGTGCCGTCACCATCTTCCGCTCTTCGGATTTTCCTTAAACACTTAAACAGAGTTAGATATTGGCCCCAGATTTATAAAATTGTCTTCTATTAGCGCCTTATCAGATCGCGAGGCAGACCCCTATTATCCAATAATCTAATTTCATGGAAAAGCAATTAATTAAAAGACACATTCAGAATTTCCAAGAAACAATAAAAAAACTAACTACTTTTAAAAAGTTACGAAGTGCAAATACAGGCTCTTCTCAATTAGCACATGAATTTAGATATGGCGGCGTATGGTGATGTCACTAATTCCATTTTATTTCGGCTTTTTAAGTAATGTATTTATCGTTGCCTTTGATTTTTGGAATGTTTTATTTACGTTATTATACGCTTATGTTACCTGAGAGAAAACTATTACAGGGTATAATGGAGAATGTTAATATATACGTTAATATTTACGAGTATGTGTAACTAAAATGCATGTTAATGTGTTATACGATGCCTTCAACTATCTAACAGAATATCTATGAATCATTTGTGAGACTTTAATTAGGACCAACTAACAATAGCTTAAAGTAAATAGTGGTCGGGACCCTCAATTAAATAAATGTTTAGGTGAGGTGTTGTGCATTACTTTATGAACCGCCTGAAATCACATATCTTTTCTTCTGTAACTCTTATCAATGAAAATGAATCAAAATATGTATTATACCGGTCGTTGGTGTGGGATACTTGGCTCAAAATATATATTATATGAAATTACCTGACTCTAAATAAACTTCTCACTAATTCTGAACTGATTTTTTCTTTAATTCTTCATTTCTAATACATAACTTTGTATAAAAAGGTAGTTAAATTAGTTGGCAGCACACAGAAACATGGGATGCTCGGGACTGAAGTGGGTATGTATACCGGGTGGGCAGAAAGTAGAATAATGGCTTTAACTTATTAGTTTGATGTCTCTAATTTTTGTTGTGAAAAAAAATATTTTTCTCTACTCATTACAAAAAATCGTCCTAGAAATAAAATAAAAGAAATAAAATCACAGTGACGTAGTTGTAGATGAGGCTTCGGTTGTGAGTTAGTATTGCTAAGCGTGAAATCAATGTTGGTTCGTAATGTGAGCTGAGGGTCCCAAAATATTCTTGGATCTCTAAAAAAATCAAATTTCTGGGGGTGGCCCCCAAATTTCTTGTTAAAATGATATTAAGCAGCTTTAGTCCAAACGAATTAGTATTTTGGGCACTTGTAATCGTCGCCTGGTACCCGACTCGACAGTCGGTAGGAATGAATTGGTAACCAATGTTTCATTTTAAAAGTTAGTTTGTTTGGTCCACTAACAATTAGAATGTAAAAGAACAGTTTTTTTACTTTTAGCTGAAGCGAAAAATGGTTGCCTACGATAGTTGTGCGCCTTGAAAATACCTACAAAACGAGCTATGCTTTGAGCGAATTGGTTAATAAACAAAAAAGTTATGGCAAAAAATTACTTTTCGCGTGGCGTATCGAGCAAGTTTCATACCCCACCAAAAAAAGCCACTTAAGCCCTGAAAAAACCCTGAAAATTTCAAGTAAAAATTGTTTTTGTTATTGTAGCAAGTACTACGGAAGTACTATAACAATGGGCACCAGCGCTGATAATAGTTAAACGCTTACTCCTGTAATATGAAATAAGATAGTTATAAAATATCGATTTTAAATCGTTTAAGTCAGTTTTGTAAGTTAGGGCAATTTTTTTGTTACAAACAAGTAGAATAGTTATTCGGACACATATCCGATCGAAACGCCAATAACTAGTTATTTATTGACGAATAAAAAAAATTGAATACGATCATCATCATCATTAAGCAGTTATTTTAACAGGAATGCATAGTGGAAGGGCAATTTTTTTTTCAAACTTGTCTCTTTCGAAAGTCAGTATGTGCGCAATGCTGGAGGGACTCGGCTTCTTTTGGGGTATGAAGGTCGTTCAATGTGTTTTACTACTGTTTATTAACAATAAAAAACAGTCATTTAAAGAGGTGTTTTTGGGTATAATATCATTGTTTATTAACCTATTTGCGCAAGCCACAGCCACAAGTCAAAAATACTGTTACCTACTTAATTGTTATTAGTTGTCCAACTTTCATCAGCAGTAATTAGCTCCCAATTCATTCTTACTATTGCACTCAAACTTTCAGTCGACTCTGATACGAGATGTCAGTTTCTATCAAAATCGATTAGTTCTAATTCTGCTGGCTTATATGTGTAAATTCATTCGAGAGCAAACCTATCCGTTCTTGTGACTATAATATGTTTAATTTCACACCTAATAAAGTGTAAAAATATCTTGCAGTACATTCAAAACAACGCACTGATGCTTAAGTCACCGTTTTTGAGAAATGTAAGAAATCACGAAGTTTTCCGCTGAGATAAATTTGTCTAAACTTTAATACCTGTTTCCGCGTTTCAGATCCGGAAGAGACGAAAGACATCGAGCTCACGGTTCAGACGCTCCACACGGTCGCGACTGCACCAAAAGTTTCGGAAAACAAAAAGCGACACAAAAAGTTATGCTGCATGTTGTGACGATAATTTATTAGTAACGTCTAAAAGAAAACGGTTCACGAATCTCACAGAAGACGAAACAATATGCTCATTTTGTATTTAAAGACAAAACTTTATCGAAAAGTCATGTAGATAGCGGAAAATGAAAAAGACATTTTATCATTCGGTACGAAGAATAGGATGGTCGGTTGTACACAAAGGTTTTGGCTTTCACGTTAAGGGCCCTTTTGAATTAAATAAATAAATTCGCAGATTGTCCAAAAGTTGATACTTTTGTGCAATATTTGACCTCTGTTTTTGTTATTGGGTACACCTACCTACCCATATTTCGATTTGTCAAATTGTCTTTGAGCTACGGGGGCTTTTTAAAAAGTCTACATTCTGAACTGTCACTAAAAAAATCTAAATTGCCATGCATTCCGTCAACATTGTTTGACAGATAACTACGACATATTTATTGTCCAAGCGTTATCACGAAGGAAAGTAATATGTTAAAATATTTTATACAATTAAAGATTTCCAGAATGCCGTCGGCCAAAAATAATTTGATAGCTTGCAGGTCTTACACTTCTTATCATAAATTAATGAAACTACCATAAGTGTCCATAAAATCCAGATTAGCCTGAAATCATGTCAATCTTGATCTTGATAAATAAAAAAAAAATACTTATAGCGTTCCATAAGATGGTGGATAAAATTCAGTTGGACAGCTGAATTTTACTCTAGAAAGATCACAAAACAGCAATTTACACTAAAAAAAATTATAAAGAACAAAATCAGACTTTTCCATTGCTCAAAAGCGGGTTTACATATAAATATAAAAAAAAATGTCTTTAGACTCGAGCCACGCAAGCGGAGGTCAGATTTCCTCCGCCTCCCTTAGGAGTACCTCAAAAGCACCGAATTTTGGACACGCAACTAACTATCGTCGGCGAAGGTACAAATCGTTCTTAAGCGGGAACTAATTTTGTACAACCAACCGTAACTTAACCGTATTTTAGCAATTTCCAAAAACGAGTGTTGTAAATATATATAGGCTATTCTATTTCTTTCTAGGGAGGTATAGAAAATATTCATGGCAACGATATGTATAATTTAAAATTTTGTTGTATACCGTTAAATTTCTTAAGCTCCACTTATAATCAATTCGCTGACCATGTGGAACTTTAGCATAGGAGCTTCACGATTCGCTCAAAAAGAGAAAAGAAGAAAAGTCAATGCTGTCAAGCGTGTTTAATGTTTTTTTTTAGTAGTTTATTACCAAGTTAACATTGTTGTTAGTATACAAGACAATTGGACTTTGATTTACAGTCGTCACGAAATTCATTGTAAATGTCACTGCCGAAAAGTATTTGCTTAGCTTGCGTGCCGCAGCTGCACTCCGCCAGCGAATTCATTATAAATGCAGTTTTATAATAAAATTACTTATAACGATGGTGTTGTTTATTGAGGCGAACAACTATCCGTTACTGACTGCCGTTTTCTCATAAACATTGCCGGAAATTGTCGCAAAAAAAATTACACCTTGTCCAGATTTTGGCCTAAAACTAAACATACTACATCGAAACCAAACGCGCATAACCACCACCATCGTCGTAAAAGCCTATATAAAATACCTAAATAAATCAAAAGCAATATGACTGCTAAGATGCAGCGCCATTATTTGGTTAATAAAAGTTAATGAAAACTGGGACAATATGAAAGAATATTTTTTTATGTAATAAAAACGGCAACCCGCAAATAATATTATATAGGGTGTTGAGAAATAAGAAGTTAATTCTTAAGGTCGTAAATTTGTGATTGTGATTAAAAGAAGAAGAATTCTTATTAAACTTTTAAGATACAGTGTGCAGAAAACAAAGTTTTCTATCATAATTTTAATAACAGTAGCCATTTTTGATGTAGCTTTTTGATTTTTGTGACCACCGGAGTTCGTAAAAAATATAAATATTTTTGGAACAACATCAAAATGAATTACATTACATTACATTTCAATTCTGCGCACATTGTAGCTGATACATAGGGCGTGTATCAAATTTCATAAAAATATCTAGGAAGAAAATTTGAACAGCCTGTACTCTAAAAGTTATATGAATTTCGATTTTAATTGGCTTTTAGACAACAAATTTGAGAGTATAATACCTATAGCATTGAACAATCTTCCAATTTGAATGGCATAGCAAAAACTAATAAAAAATATTGTCCTGATTTTTCATGGAGTAACTATAATACTTACTAGTGTAAAAATGAAAACATTGAAATTATAGGCGTGGTTTTTGAATGCATCGAGTGCTGTTCTGACTGTGTACTGCACCACTTTCTTGACACAACTCTTTCCTTATACAATTTTTGAGTGTAAAAAAGTCCAACATTTTAATTTATTATAAGCGCATGTAAACAATAACGCAATGTTTTTATGGTCATACAAAAGACAATGTGAATAGATCCCCGTTTTCGGCACATTTCACGTTACTTTTATTAACATATAGAGAGTCTTCATATTTTTTTATTGTGAATAAAGTTCAACAAATTTCTCTGACCCCGAGTTTTATTTTTCATAGTTTGAAATTTATACACTTACTAGGCGTGGGCGTAAAAAAATTTGAAACCAGACCTCTAATTACAGTGCACAGGTTTAATTTCGAAATAATATTAAATGTTGATTGAGTCTATTTATTATCATTTTTGAGTTTTGGTTCTATTATACTTACCTAATAGAACACAACATTTGGGCAATAAGCGATATAAATAACATAACCTAAAATTGTGTTTGCCAAATTAATACACATGCGTTAAACCTCATATTCCTTGATGAAATTTTTAGTTATTCTTGGTGACATTTTCAGGTATATCTATATAAACGAAAAACAACCGTGCCAAACTTATTTATTTGTTTAATTAGACAATATTACAAAACTCATGAAACTTTGTCACCAATGTTAAGTCTTGTAGTAGATGAGCTTTACTTATAACAAAATACATTCAATTCATGCAAAAAAAGGAAGCACTCAATAAAAGAAACTTAGCTCGTTAATAATGTCCATATCAACTAAATAATTTCACAGCCCTGATGCTATTTCAGATGAACTTGTATAATTTTTGTGTATTAAATAAGTCCACATCCCTTTAATACTACCTTAGGATATAAACATCTTCATGATTGAGGCAGTACATGTACATATACGGACCATAATTCTTCACATAAAAAACTCTTGGGTAGAGTGGGAAAGTGTAAGTCATGCATTGGGTGGCCGATCCAGACAGCTTATTTCTAGAACCCTTAATCCTCGCAAACTAGGATCAGTCAATTTCAATCCCCTTGGTTCATAGACTCTTTCATTTTGTTCGGCAATGAATTTGGAAACTTTCTTCAAGCACTAATGATTAAAAAGTTGTTAATAAATGGCATATTATAAATGGAATTTCTTACCTTCTCATAATGAGTTTCTTTGCAAATGTAAATTAAATATGCCGTTAAACATGCCAGACATCCTTCACAATAAGTAGAACATGTCGCTTTTTCTGCTTCTGCGAATAGCGCATTTAGCCTATTGATGGTGCTCTCAAAAGTTTGTTTTTCCAACTAGAATGCACATAAAACACTCGTTATAACATTTTACATTCCTAATACTATTACAACCTACCCTGCCTTCTAATTCTTGAGGAAACCTGGTCTGGAATTTCACAATAGTTCCTTCGCTATAATCCCGTTGAATGAACACTTTCAAGCATTGCGGTTGAGCCATTTGCTCGGTTTCGGCAGCCCTGCCACCATTGTTGTAATGATTGCTCATTGTTTGGCTATTTTATAAACCAGCCTAAATGCAGAACATGAGATCAAAGATATTTTAAAAATGAGTTCAACCGACGAGTTCAAGCGAAGATCTTATCATTTTGACCCAATAAACGCCCACAGCACACATGAATTAACCACTCACAATCAATTATTGCTGTCGGCTGTCTGTCATATTCGCGGAATAAGAACGAATAATTTCGTTGGCACATCACAGATGGCAGCAGCACGTTATTCATTCAATTGTTTATGCAACCACCATGCACTAAAAGGAAAGAACGGTGGCGACAAATTTTTAATCTGTAATTCAATCAGCAATCAATCAAATATCAATTAAACTTTCCCAATACGACAATTTTGGTCGAAATATTGGCTATACGATTTTCAATTAATTGAATTATCCGATTTAATGAGTAGTCTGATGACCATTAAAAATGAAAATTAATAATTATAGTAGGTTGGTGAAAAATATTTGGAATACTATGTCACTTTTATTTGCCCTAATTATTGATAGTTTACTTACGTACTTTTATTTTCTATTAAACATAATTATATGTATAGATCTCATTAAAAAATTCGACATCTTCACATTTCGTGCCTTAATGAAGCATTGGGGTATATATAAGCAAATTAGTACTGCAATTAAAGATTAGTTGGGTGTTGATTTCTGGACCTGCACGTTTTTCAAAATGAGCATTATTTTACTAAGCGTTATGGTAGTTTGTTTATCAAATGGCATAAAATCGGACGAGTATGTAAAAGATTTCTACAAGAGATGTGTCGAAACTAAAAGGCCCTACTATTGTGCCACCTACAGACTTTTACAATTTGTCGAAAATTTCGAATTTCAAATCCCGAAAGATAGTGCAATAAGAGTGATAAAAGCCAACGCGATACCAGACAAACAGTTATTGTTACCAATGCCGAGGTACTTCGAAAGTGACGCCGGGTGGGAGAAATTGTTAAAGTTTTTGAAAAGGAAGGTGTTTAATTTTATAAACACCCATGCGGTTGCTGTTCAGGTACCCGAAGGAATCGACGTCGTCGAAGGAAGAATTTTGAACAACGTTGTCGACGAGAAATCTACAGGTAATTAATTATTGATGATATTTCTTATTCAAAGTATTCCCATTAGCTTAATTACCCACACCGACTGAAAACAATACCTACTTAAATTAACATATTTATTATTATTATATTAGTACAAATAAATTGAAATATCAAAACAGATAAAATTTTTAAAAATTTGCTATAGGATTACGGAACAACTGATTTTTATAAATTTTTAAAATTAGAACAATACGTTAAATGTCTGACCGTAATGAAATATTGCTTGGGCGGTATATGCCCTCTCTTCTCAACTAAACAACAGAAAAGCAGAAACTAACCAAAACTAATCAAATATTTGCCAGCAACATTGGCTAACCGTCAAACATTTAACGCCTTCTCAATTCTGAGGCATTGAAGAATGCACAAACCGTTGAATCACATGATGCCATTGGTTAGTTGGTGAAAAAAGTAGAACACGAGCACGTCAAAGAGGTTGCCTAACTTCATGGATAGCCCGGTCAAAATGTTAATTTAAAAATTCCGACTACATTATGAAAAGGAGACTTATGAACTGCTGAGCAATAATAGGTATTTAAATAAAAGTCAATGCTGATTGTTTTCCAATGCTTTTTTAAAATTCTGATACAATGCTACAATTAAAACCACGCAAGTAGATGCATATGCCACTGTGACTTTTTTCTTTTTTCTAGAAATGGCTAAAGTTTATTTTTTTATTTAATATTTTTTATGCAATTTTGCTGGTTATTCATTCAATAAAAATAGTTTAAATGGCTCACACTGTATAGGATGGTCATATTAAATTAACTAAATCTAGATAGAGCAAAATCGATTTACATGTCATGGGTTCGATTTTGAGCTCGAGATTTGTTGTAAAAACCGTCTGGATACACCAACGAAGCAATAGAGGGATTTTTAATTTTAAATCATTAATTCAAATAAACACGTAATTACGGCATTGTTTCAACGTTTTCCCATAGATGAAGGTCAGCTCAGTTTTTGTCAGGTCTTTTGAAAAATATTGTGCGCAATTTTCTTCTTGGCGCAGGTATGATTTTGGGTTGAAGTTAATACACGTCAACGCTACACAGTATGTCTCAAATATTGTAGAAAAATGAATAAAATTCAATTTAATTTTTTTTAACATCCAACATACCAACCGACGTATTGCTGTGAATGTCAATTGAAAAAGTTACACCGATACTTGAAGAATAATTAAATTAAGTTTAAGAAAACTAAGGTCAATGTAAACAATGATATATTCACATTTTATTTTAATATTATTATTATTCCTGGATTTATTTTGAGAACTCTTGATAAAAAATAATGAAGTTTAACTCAAAGAAGAAATTGGCCACTAGTAAAAATTGAGTTGAACAAATTAATTTTAATTATATTAATTTTTTATTATTTTATTTAAATTATTTTTTTTTTATTAAATTAAATTAATAAAGAATGGTGGTGACGCTTCAATTGACGTTGGCGTTGTTACATTCACAAAATATTCTGCATTTTTCATGACAGGTAAGAACTGTCATACAAGAATAATAACATAATTAAAAAAAGAAAATAGAAATTTGTAGAAAAAATCTTAGTACTCAACTACATCTGACTCAATAACCAACTAACTTACTAACCAACTAACCAAATTAATAAAAAACAACCAAAATTAAGCAATAGTAACTAATTACAAAAATTATTGACAATTCTCAAAATGATCGATATAACAATTATTGACAGAAATTTAAAAACATAAATGAATTTTAGCTAAGCATTTGCTATATAATTGTTTTAAAATCCTGTTGACTTTTGTAAATATCGCTAAAAGCAAAAGCGTAATATGCAATTAAAACGATGGATTGTAAATAAAAAAGAAATCTATTGGGATACGTACATCAAAAAAGTGCTTATTTTCCAATAATGGTTTTACGAAGTCACGAATATTTAATTTGCGGAATTGATGAAACGACGACTAAATTGAAAGTCGAATTATCCAATTATAAAATGCATTTATAATATACGGGCACCACTTCTTCAGGATTTTTTGCTCTTAAATTACATAGTTCACAAAATTTTCCCCTATTTGGTTAGCTGTTAAAACAATGGTCGTTTTCAATAAGGAGCATGAGACAATGTGACTTCTAATCTCTCGCTTCAACCTCTACTCCAAGACTTTGAAAGCTAATATATTCTGTAAATAAAATAAAACGTACCTAACATTATATAAGAATTAATTATGGGATAATGGATAATACAGAAACTGCAGAAATGAAATTAACTGGTATTTATGTTGGTGAAACAAACTTTAAATGCAAAAAAGTTATTTCACACCATGTGCTTTTCCTAATGTTGCCCACATAGCTTTACGCAAATTGCTTCCGAGGGAGAAAAGTGCGTAAAAGCGTAATCATCTCCGTAATTTTATTCATAAAATGTATTAAGCATACAAAACGATCGAAAACACAATCGCTTAAGCGTGTTTTATAGAAACAATACATCGAATGTAAGCAGATGTCTGCCAAACACCAATTTTTTATTTAGAATAACATTTTTGATATGCATGAGGTTATACCATCGGTAGAGAGCGGCAAATTATGTACAGTGTGTCCCATCTTGGTTATTTACCAGAGAATGGATACTTAGAAATGTAAACCACAATGACAGATTTGCTTCCTGCATCTTTCGTTTTACAAAAAATAAGTCAGGCTTGCGAAAACCGCTTCTATTTTACAGGCTGTAAATGCATTTTTTTCATGGCCCAACAATTTTTAACGCTTTTTTAAAATTGGTCTAAAACCGACAAATTTTACAATATAGATTTAGGGCAGCATCTGAAAAGCAAGAGGATCATTTTTCGCCAAAAGTTTGTTGTGCTGTTAATTTAACATTATTTAAATTGTCAATTTGATATTGTAAGTATTGAAAAGAAGCTGTAATAATTCTTGTTTATCAGTAAACGAAGAAGTCATTTTGCACGGGTATTAAAGTTCCATGACGAAGAGAAAGAAGACTAATAATTGGACACGTTGGAAGCGTCCAGGAGATTATCACGAATGTCTGATGTTTTTGAAGATTACTTTCTGACTAACACAGTAGCGGTTATGTACAATGTAGCTATTGTTCACGATCCATATTAAAGGCACTTCGACTTGGAGGAAACAAGAGTTTAGCGACTGACTCACCAGCAAAGATATTGTTGAAACGTTTGTTAAAATATGACTAATGCGTTTACCACCAAGTTAGTCAAAATCAAATCCAACAGCAGAAACCCGACCAAATCATTATGGAACTGAGCCCAGAGATCCAAGAAGCCCAAAGAAGAAAAAATGTAGGGTCTTGAGTACCTCATCTCAAGTGTAGACTTTAATATTATTCTGTAATATGTTGTATAGTATGTATAGTATTATAAATCATACAGGGTGCCCGACTACATTTTGATTCCCACGTACAGGCTTTATTATGGGTCATATCAAAAAAAGGTATTGCAACATTTGTATAGAATATTCTGCAATTCAATTCATTTAATTTTACAAAAGGTTTAAATAAAACCCATAGTTTTAGACAATATAGTGGCTCTAAGGATGGTAAACATTGATTCGTCGCAGGCTGCTATGTTTTTGTAGGCCTTGCCCCTAAATTTCACACACACAAGCTTTAGCTGGATATGGGGTAAAAATTTTACATATATGAACTAAAAACGATCGAATCGACTCTCAGCGACCACGTTGAACGGTTGAAGTTTTATACAATTTTTTTTATGGACAAATATTGATTTTAATGTGCTCGTTTAATTTAATTCTACACCCTCTAAGTACTTACGGCCATTATTTTTGAACGAATAAGGTTTAATAACAAGAGTCTAATTTCAATTCCAACGTAACTCCATATTCGCAAAAATTATTTTTGGGTCGCTCTGTTGTCCTTTTGCATGTATGGCGAGTTATCATTTAGAAATTTAGCAACCGAATATAATTTAAATTTGTTTACCTTTTATTCTCTACCTTCCGTTCGTTTCGGTACAATTAAAACGCATCGTGTAACTTCTAAATGCCTTAATAAATGCTTTTGCTACTTGGGTCGAAAATGTACCGTATTTTGCGGCTATTCGTAGTAGGGTCACGAAAATTCCCACTTTAACGCATCGTTAAACAAATACTCCGCAATGAACATCAGCCACTCGGAAAGGCAGGGGGATTCAAGTTACCTTTCGTCAGAGATAACTTACCAACATGTTAACGAAATGATAAATGCCCTTTGAGGTTATTCGGGATTGTTTGTAAATTATAAGGTCTGGGATTTCCTCATTTCTCGTTCAGGTTAAAAGTAGATATTAGCTGAAGACGAGGAGGATTCGACTAGTGGATGTGTGTGCACTAAATTACCACTTCTACTAGAAATGACCTCAAGAATTACTACTAAACACAACCTAAATTTGCCGCCAATTTTGGTTAATTGATACCGGCGTTATCGTTGCATTTATCTTGTTCCTATTTTTCTAATTTTTAAACATTCTATTTATTAACCTACAAAAGTAACATCAATAATATGAAAAAAAAATCAAAGTATTATCAAACTAGTATCAAAGCTAAAATAAATGCAATGAAAAGAATACTCTCAGTTTATGATAATACGCGATATTTTAAAACACCCAATTCAAAAACAAAAATAAAAACTCGCAATCTAAATAAATCTTTACACAATGTGTAATATATTCTTCCAGAATTTTGTTTGGTAAAACTATGGAATTAAATCACTTTACAATTTTAATAATCTGGTCCAAAAAAGTCAACAAATCTTATATTTGTACTTATACTACCTAGGAAGGAATTTCAACTCCCAAAGTCACTGCAAAAAAGTAACTTGTTAAACTAAATTGTTTAAAAAAGAGTATATTTATAAGGTTGTTCGGAAAGTCATTTCGTTTTTTCCCGTCAGAGGACTTAATTACGTTTTTTCGAAACCAACTTCACACTTAAGCCGCATAACCATTATATGTCTTGAGAGCTGATATTGTGTGTGAAAAAGTTCTATTAATTCTACGCAGTAGTTTTTGATTGGTGCCCTTTTAAATATGGAGAGCAATAAGCAGCATTTTCGTCATATTTTACTTTTTTACTTCAGAAAAGGTAAAAATGCTGTCCAAGCGAGAAAAAAATTGACGGATGTGTATGGAGAAGGCGTGTTAGCAGTACGCCAGTGCCAGAACTGGTTTGCAAAATTTCGATCCGGCAATTTTGATGTCGAAGATGCACCACGGTCTGGAAGGCCGGTCGAAGCTGACAAAGATGCGATAAAGGCATTAGTTGATGCAAATCGGCGAATAACCACACGAGAGATCGGTGAGAGATTAAATTTGTCAAATTCGACTGTTTATGGCCATTTGAAAGGAATGGGCTTAACCTCGAAGCTCGATGTGTGGGTGCCCCATGTCCTTACGGAGCGAAATTTGTGTCGTCGCGTTGACGTGTGTGATTCACTCCTCAAACGTCAAGAAAATTATCCATTTTTGAAGCGGATTATTACTGGGGACGAAAAATGGGTTGTATACAACAATGTTAAACGCAAGAGGTCATGGAGCAGAAAAGACGAACCGGCTCAAAGCGTGTCAAAAGCCAACATTCACCAAAAAAAGGTAATGCTCTCCGTTTGGTGGGATGTCAAAGGAATCGTTTTTTTTGAGCTTTTGCCGGACAATACAACGATTAATTCAGAAGTCTATTGTCATCAACTGGACAAATTGAATGATTCACTTAAAGAGAAGAGGCCCGAATTAATCAACAGGAAGGGTGTAGTGTTCCACCAGGATAATACGAGACCTTACACAAGTTTGGTCACTCGCCAAAAACTTTTACAGCTTGAATGGGACGTATTGCAATATCCACCATATTCTCCAGATCTGGCGCCTTCCGACTACTATTTGTTCCGGTCCCTGCAAAATTTTTTGGATGGCAAAACCTTTACCTCAAATGAAGATGTCAAAAACCACCTGACCCAGTTTTTTGCCAGCAAGGACCAAATCTTTTATGAGAGGGGAATTATGTTAATGCCAGAAAGATGGCAAAAGGTGTTGGACCAGAATGGCCAATATATAATTTAATAAAATATTTATTCATTATACGAAAACTGTCTTTCATTTTCCCCAAAAAAAACGAAATGACTTTCCGAACAACCCAATAGTTTTACGGAAACATGTCACCAAATAAGTATTAGATTTTTAGGCTCTTATACGGATTCTTTCACTTCTTTGCAGTTTTTCTTTAAATTTAGTAAGTTCAGCCATTTTAAGAGAAAACGATCTGTCTTCTCTCAAGAGACCCGTAGAAAATGTACCTTTGTTCACTTTAGGTAAGTTACTTTTTTGGATACTATAAATTGCACTGCTGACTTAAAAAATATATATTTCGTTATTAATTTTCTTACGAGTTTTTTCAACATGTCATTCCTCACATAGTACAATATATATATATATATATATATATATATATATATATATATATATATATATATATATATATATATATATATATATATATATATATATATATTTAATTTCTATGGAACTTAAGTTCTGAATATTTCTTGAAGTGTCGTCAGAATCAGACTGGCTTTAAACTACTTATTACCATAAAATTCCCTTAAATTAATTTCGTCTAATTATTACGACCTCTTACAATGAAATCTCCTTTGTCACAAGGTAAAAGTTTCATGACGTCTTGCCTGGAACATTAACCAACCATATTGTAAAATCTGCTATTTCAGGAGGTTAAGGATCACTGAGAGAAAGTTACGAGCTATAAACTTAGATTTCTTTTAGATAAATTACTTGACACGTGCCTTTTTTTACTAAGTAATACATATCTTTCTATATATATCGATATATATATATATATACCAATTAACGAAACATGATATGATGTTGCTGGTCTTCTTATCACAGATTTTTGAACACTCACACATACAAAATTAGTTTTATCAACATATTCATTCATTTTGCGACTAGACACCATTTGCTTCCCTATGGGCCGGTTATTCAGAGTTTAACCACACAAATCAATACTATGTACCATTGCTGGTTAGTAGCTGAACATCGATTGTGCGAAAATTAGGCCTAGTTATCGAAGAAACAAATGCCGTTGTAAGAAACGCCCTTTTTGAACCACAGGTATTTGACAAGCATTTTCTCCTCACTTTTCGTGCGATTTAAATTTTAAATCTGAAGCTAATGTACCTTCACAAGATAATATGGTGCCGACATCGCTAAACCCCAAAGTTCATAAAAATTCAGCCTTTTATGATAAGACTGTGGATATGACGCCAAAGAAAATACTGACTTTAATAACTGATCCGATAAACTCCATCATCGTTTCATGCACAACGTAATAACATTTTCTTATGCACGACGTAGAAATGAAGAATAGTGCGGAGATTTTATGTGAAAAAAATTCAATAACAATATATTTCACTATAAGACAAATCAAAAATTTTGGGAAAATCTATACAAACCTAACAATATTTAATACATATCTGTAGAATCTATGAAAAATATAGTTTTTTGTTGACACACCAAAATTCCTTTTGGAAATTTTTAAAAAAATTTCACGTTTAAGGTTTGAAGCGCATGTTTTATTTTGAAGTTAATAAATAAACAAATAGATAAAAACGTCTTTATTTTTCACTGACACACAAAAATTCCATAAATCAACTTACAATAGGGCAAATTTTTTAGCAAATATAATACAAAACATAAAAAAAATTAATCAGTAAATGAGCTAACAATAACAATAGTTTAACAATAACAATAACCGTGAGAAAAAGGTTGAAATAGGCAGAAACAAAAATTAAATTAATATAACAACAATTAAAGCAGTACAATTGACAAAGCTAATCTATATTTAACAAAAGTACAAAAAAATAACTTATTATATGTAATTTCCAAAAACAGTTTTTTTTTTAATTTAGTCTAAAAACGCTCTGGATGAGTAACCTCGGCGTATTGATTCAGTAACTTAGCGGACACATAAGAAGATTAATTCATTAATGCATTTTTTCATTGACGATTTTGTCTTTCGTGCGATTGTTATATATTTATTATACACTAGATATTTTTATAGGAAGCGAATATGATCTTGCACTATTCAACCATTCTTATCACTTCCACATAGTCAAACATGTTCTCCTTTCCATAGCGTAGACAATAATTTAGAAGATAAAATCATTTGTAATTTTGTGTAATATGGACACGATTTGAATAATATTCCCTTAACATGAAATGCTTAGTTAATCTTTTCTCAAACATAATTTGAAACACCGTGCTCTTTCGCTATTTTTTGTTTTGCAGACCAAAAATTAGCTACACATACCACACTTTGAATTTTCGTTTGTTTATTACATTTTAATATATTTTTATGGTCCTAATAATAATTTCCTATTGCTCTATTTTTTTATTATTATTTATTATTATTATGTTTATATTTAATTATTTGCACTATATCGATTAAACACTAGCGTAGGGCTACCTATTTTCTGAAGTCTACGAAATTTTGTGATAAATAAATTTAATAACTAATTTTTGGGTTATTCTGTCATCAGGTGGTGCAACTGGGGCTAAGAAAATAAAATAAAATAAAAAATAAGTGATAATTTTCGCATTTTGCGGTATTATACATTATGGTAATTACATCGTGAAGGAAACACTCTTAACCCTTTAATTCCAAATTTTTTTTTTAACAGCAATATTTTCAAAACTTCCTCAACAACGAAAAATTTCAAAGTTAAAAATGGAAATGATTACTGAACCTGGAATTGCTACAGCAACATTCTTGTTCTACAAACAGTTTCCTACTTTACTTGTGGGATTTTTGTGTTTTACCCTTTGTTATTGGTGAATGTTCAACAATAATTAATTAAAAATTTTCATTTTATTTCCACAGTTGCAACAATTATTTTGAAGAATTTTAAGTAAGTTCCACTCTTTTTTGTATTACAAGTAGCATTTGGCCCACTAGATACAGAAATAACTGTTTTGTGCTTTATATTAATCATTAACGTCATACAATGAGCATTGGGTAAATTTTGTACTAATATAATGGAGTGGATATTTTCTGAGTAATATATTTCATTCTATTTTTAATATTACGCACATGCAGTTCAAGTACAACTCCATAATGAAATCAGTTTGCTCGGAAACTGGGGATAAATTGAGTTTTTGCCGGGAGCCAGTGATTTGGTTATCATTCCATTTATGTGCCGTTCGCAGAAAAACTTTTTATCTGAAAATTTATTACGTGAATATTGAAAGAGCTGAAACAATTCGAACGTGGGTTCGTCGCGTGACGCGCAGTATATGCGTTTGTATTATGAAAAAAACCAACAAAATGGGAAACATGGGACGCGAATTCGTTTAGAAAATAAATTTTAGGGGACTATCGGCGCTTCTGCGGATCGATTCCGGCGCCCTGAATTCATAAAACAAATCATATAAGTTTTAGAGAGGTATTTTTGAAATAGTTTTTAGAAAATAGAAAAATATAGACATACCTTCGATTGGGCCTATAAAAGTTATTGCTGACAACATTTAAGTACAAAATAGTTTACAGTATTATTGTTTCATCGTTGTTCTTGACACATTCGCTGTTCCCTGAGATAGTTCGTTCTCACCTATGAAAATTACTTTAAACAATCTATTAATTCGGTCAGCAATACTTACTTCTAAACAGGAGTTTTTTGCTTCTTTTACATTAAACAAAGTTGGGGAAAAGTAAATGGGTGTCCCTTTTAGCTTCGCTCCCCTACAAAATATTAAAATTGCGTTAGCAGTGAGCTAAATTTAATTTTGGTGTCTTAAACCTTTTTCGAAACAATAATAAAAAATGATTGTTTGGGTCCTCTTTTATTAATAAAACTAAAGTTATTTAAAGTTAGTTAACCAAAACTAAAGTTATTTGTTATTGTTCTATGTATCCTAGACCGATTTCTGAAACAGTTTTTTCGTTATATAGTTAGGTGGGAAACTGGCTCAAAAATTACATGTTATTTCTCGGAATATACTTTTTTTTTATATAGTTGGAATTCTTATTTGAGAATTTTTTTTATTCTACGTTTTTACATTAACCAGTGTTGGGGTAAGGGGACAGGTTGGACGAAAAATATCTATAAACCATATGTTTATAATACCATGATCATGAGAGACACTGTATATATCGACTTTAGTGTAGTTAATTTGTGAATTGATAATATAATTATAATATTGACTTAAATTGAATTGAATTGTCTCATATGGGTTATTTATTGTATTATACGAGAGATTAAAATTGAAGTGACGAATACTACCTCTGTGTCGAGGTTTCGGCACTTGTTCCTCAGAGCACAGTTAATGGATATGTTATTAGTTAATGGGTTTGTAAAATGCTGACGTTTATAGTAATGAAATGAATGATGGTGTTTAAAGAAACATTTTAATATTAGTTTTACTAGAAGTTCAACTGAATAAAAATAGAAGAAATTATTAAATAAGTGATATTAATGAAATAATGTTTATTAATATATTTCCATTTGTAACTGTTTGCCAACAATTCTATTGTTATAAGATAATATATTTACTTATTCTATTTTAAATTGAGTTTAGACTAAAGAGTTTATTACAGTGATTTCAGTGAAACATTACACAATTATGCCCGGATTAAGCGTGCGGAAAGTATGACTTACACACACACATTTTAGCCATTGTTATATATTCGTGCTGTTTTAAAAAATGTACTGACAACTATTAGTCACCCGTTTATTAAACACTCGCTCCGCTGCTTTCCCTCGTGCCATATAAAAGTAGTGACTAAAGTGGCGTATATGAAACTTGTTTTATTATATCGTGTAACAAGTTTTCACTGCCGATTATTGCTATAAATCATTCAATAACATGTTTTTAACTTAAATCTGGATGATGGAATACGCTATTAAAAACAAAATTAAGGCTAGGAACAGTACACTAAAGTTAATTTACCTAAAATTTGTGATTTTTGCGTGCGATGGTGGAAACGAACGCTGCCCGTGAACCAACCGAGTTAAGTTAAAATTTTGTTATTTTTTATTTATAGCCGCAATCGTACAAACCAATAGATAATATGGAACTGTCGCTTGTTTCAGATATCGGCGAGGCGAGGGGAAAGAAATGGAAAAAAGTGTTCATAATATCCATATTAATAATGGCGAAGTTGTTGAAGATCAAAATGGTACTGGGCATGGTTTTCTTCGTTCTTTTGGTGATAAAGAAGATTATCTTGCTCGCCGCGATAGCGTTCCCGTCTGTCTTGAGTCACATCAGGCAGACTTGCGAGAAACACCACGAGCCACACCACATTGTCGAAGAAGTTGCACCGAGTCACGGGAGCTCCTGGTTTGGGTAAAATAAAACGATAAGTAATAAATAATTTGTGATAAAAATATATTGTTGTAGATTGCGACAAGATAACTACGGGTGGAATTAAATATTGCTATAGAATACAGAGAAATGTAAATAATGAAGGGAATATAGTTTTAAGTCAGATACTACGTGTTTTAGTGCACCAATAATTAGTTAATGTTAAGCAGGTCATACATGATGATATTTGCCATATAATATAAGGGAGTAAAAAGTCCATGACTTTAGATTGGCATTAAAGTATGTAAAGTGTGTAGAGGTAGATGTGGGTACTTTTGTTCAACTAATATAAGACATTAAAGTTGCCTGCATTTAACCAGAACTAACGAAAACTCTGCAACACGTATTTTAATTCATCATGTATCACAATCTTTCTATAAAACAAGCTCTCTAGCAAATGCTCAGAATAATTAATATACCGGGTGAGTCCAAAATATTATTCGTTTTGAGAAAACTTTCTGAAAAAGTTTTTTAAATTTATTATTAAAAAAAAAACACAAATTTTGAATTCATCTGTAAAGCAATAAAAAAAACGAAGATCAGACTGTCAAATTTTTATTATGAGATTCTGTATAATCTTTTTATAATTTTAGTATATTTAGACTGGAGACACAATTCTCATTTAATATTCTTCCTAGAATGTCCGATAATTTTATTGTTTTAATGTATATTTTTCAACTAAACAACAGGTTTCATTTTTCCAAATTAACTAAACACTCTTTTCTTAGATTGTAAAATTACATTATTAACGAATAAAATATTTCATATTTCCAACGAATACATATATTTACGAAATATACAACTCTCGAGCAAAGAAATTTCTTATAAATGGATAAATGTGATAAAAGTGATAAAATGGTGAGTCCATCTTATAAATTAAATCGCATTTAATGTCCTCTAAGGTTTCGAGGTGGCTTAGGCACAAGAGAAGCAATATTTGCCTTGAACGTTCTCGCCCAACGATGTATGGATATGAATCAGGATTTTTATATATGTTTCATTGATTACAACAAAGCCTTCGATAGGGTCCGACACGAACAACTTATCCAGCTTCTGAAAGAGAAGAACTTAGACACCAGAGATATAAAAATTATCACGAATCTTTATTTTAATCAAAAAGCAGTGGTAAAAATAGAAGGGAATAACACCGAAGAAATAGAAATCCGTCGAGGCGTTAGGCAGGGGTGCGTGCTATCACCGATGCTATTTAATCTTTACTCAGAGGAAATAATGAAACGAGCATTGGACGATGAAACGAAAGGACTAAAAATTAACGGAGTGCCTATCAACAATATAAGATATGCGGATGATACGATCCTGATAACTACCTACCTAAACGAATTACAGATTGCAGTAGACAAAGTTAATACATCGAGTGAAGAGTTCGGACTGTCACTAAACGTAAATTCACAAATTCATATAAATAACCACTCCATGGAAAAAGTTGACAGTTATAAATACTTAGGTACAATTGTAAATAAAAATAACGACTGCTCTGAAGAAATCAAAACTAGAATAGGACAGGCGAGAACAACATTTGTGAAAATGAAAAGAGTGCTCTGTGGCAGCGATCTCAGCTTGGATTTAAAAATCAGAATGGTGCGATGCTATGTTTTGTCGGTACTGTACTATGGTGTAGAGGCTTGGACTCTGAAGAAACTGGATATAAGGAAACTTGAGGCGTTCGAAATGTGGTTGTACCGTAGAATACTTAAGGTAAAATGGACCGATAAAGTGACCAACATGGAAATCCTGAAAAGAATAAAAAAGGAAAAAGAAATGATCATTACGGTAAAAAAGCGTAAACTTCAGTACCTTGGACACGTCATGAGAGGAGAAAAGTACCAACTACTCCAACTGATATTACAAGGAAAAATTCAAGGAAAGACAAGTGTAGGAAGAAGGCGTCACTCATGGATGAGAAACTTACGTGACTGGTTCGGGTGCACCACAAACCAACTATTTCGGTCGGCTGTGTCACGAATACGAATAGCACTGATGATTGCGAACCTTCGCAACGAAGACGGCACTTAAAGACGAAGGTTTCCGAGCTAAAGTTAGAAATACATTATTATAATGCAATCGAACATAAATACTCTACTGTTATAGTTTGGTTTGGTTTATTCGGAGAGTTGCCTTAGGATATCTTTTTCAAATAAAACCAGGACATTTTATTACTTTTTACAAAACTTCTGGATTCCTCCTGCGTCGGTTTTTGCTGAATCGAACTTGCTGACGTTTCGCCAATCATCAGTTTCAGTCAAGCTCTGAAGAAGCCAACATGATAATTGACGAAACAAGACTCAGCAAAAAACGACGCCGGAGAAATCCAGAAGTTTTATAAAAAGTATTACAGTAGCTTGAAACATTAAGACATTTTATTATACTGAGCTGAACAGACTGCTTGCACTTTGAGGGTACTGTTGGTAATTCAGACAGGTGATTTACAATTCGCTACTTTTTTCCGTTATCGAAGTTAATTTCAGCGCAGGTTGTTGTTGGCGAGATAGAATTTGATGATGAAAAGTATAATTTTTAGACAACAAGTTAATACGCGCGAATCGCACGTCAATAAAGAGCCAAAAGAATAACACCGAATCTAACCTTACCAAAATGGCGGACGGTAACATGAAGGAATTAATGCCTATTGCTAACTTGGCGCGCTTCTACATCATTGCCTCAGCGCTGGTAGCGTTCGTCATTGTATACACTATCATGACGGCGATTTAACACGTGGTAATATACTTTCCTTTCCTTTAAATAACAATGTTGATATTGTAGTACAGGGTGTAAAAAAATAGTGTAGCAGACTTGGATGGTTGACAATACATACATGTAAACAAAAATTAAGTTCTTAAGATTGCCAAAGATGATTCCATTGAGTGATGTGGTGCTGTAAATGTAAGAATGTCACATTTAAAGAAAAATGATTTTCTTTCAATAATTTCAACATCTTACGACATATTATGTTCATGTGAACTTTTTGTTTGATATGTATTGTCACCTGAATATTTGTAAAATTTTCATTTAAAGCTTGTTTTAGATGAGTCAATTTATCTTTCGACTTCGGCGCTCTTTTATTTATAGATATGTTGACATCCCTAAGCTTGTGGTCTATATAAACTAAAAGATACAACTTATTCTGCTATTTACAAATACCTAATTTACTTTCCAGATCCTAAAGTATCTAAGTACATAAATACACTTGTTAAATTTTCTATTATTTTTTTAGCAAAACAGGCAAATTAGCGATAATATGCAATGAGAAAAAAGTTTAATAAAAAGAAAAAATTGCATTGCAAGTGAAATAAACTCGGAATAGATCTTTTAAAGTCATTTTCGAATTTCGACGAGTTTGATCTGAAGTCAGAAACGTTGCATGTAGGTAAAAATCTGATAATCGTTATTATATCATTCAGTCATTCGAAAACCTTCAACTAAAATTACATTAATAGCAGCGGATTAATAGTAATGGCCAATAATATCCAATCTAGGGGTCGAAGAAGATCGGCAAATGAATAGAACAATAAAAACACATTTTCACTAATTTATTGTTAGACAATTGTCTAAGGGGTTTTTCACGATCCGGAAACTCAGTGAATGAATTGAAAGGTTGAGGCAACGTTAAGTTTCTGTCTTTTGGTAATGACGCTTTTTGACATTCCTTCTTCTTTATCTCTTGCTGCGCGTTGCATGTTAAATTGTTGATTGTTTGAAGAAATTTATAAATAAATCTCGCTTATATTTAAGATGCGGTTCCCATATGCTTTGGTGTGCTACTTTTTTGAAAGATGGCATCCCTTTTCGTTTTTGAGACACAAGATATTTTTCATGCTTCCAGTGTATTTTTCGACTTGCAAAAACTAACTCAGTTAAAAATATAAATTATGTAAAATGGTAGATGTTGATTTTTTTTCAACAACAGTACGCAACAAACTATATATTTATGAAAAGCTCACATTATTTTAATATTATAACATGTCCAAAAGAATCAAGCAAATCCAAATATGCTAATAATATGTGTTTTGGTAAGGGTTACCTACTCATATCGGCAGCCAAAAACATTCTTTGCAGTCTAGCAAGTAGTCTGTTAGAGTCTTGGCAAGGTAGTAACAAGATAATTCTTTTCTAAAGGTATCCCAGATTACTCAGACTAAGGAAAATCTATGTATTTTGCTGTCAGGACTTTGGGGTAGCTTCGTTAAAGACAGTATGGAAAATAAACATTAATCTATGTCATTTTGAGTAGAACAAAATTGAAAAGAAAAACTTCTAATCCGTTTTCTTAAAAGATTTTTTTTACAGAAAAACATTAGTCTCTATAGTTTTATTACGACAATTATTTCATTTTCATTTTGTTTGTATTTTTATTCAATCTATAAAAAATTAGAAGTATTAAAACTACCACTAAACCAAGGGAATTTTAAGTTTAATAGTTAGTTTCTATTTTGAAATCGACCATATTATTTATCCCCGTTAATGGAAGTCAAATAGCGGTTTACCTTTTGTAGTCTTTTTGCTTTTGTTTACGTCTGTGGAGCCGCACTTAAAAGCCAAGACTGAATTGTTATTTTTTTTGCAGAGGCGAGTGAAGGAAAAAACCGCAAAGATCCGATAACGCAGCACGTCCCCCACTTAAACAAAAAAGAGAGGGAGTTATACGGGTGGATCATAGGCATTGTCTTACTAATCAAAACTTACTTAGTGGGACTGGCTATGCACGGGTTACTTTTTGGTGTAATGGTGGTGAAGTTGCTGGTTTTCAAAGGTGCGCTCTGGCTGCCATACCTCGCGTATCAGGTAAAAAAATTCTGTACGAGAGAGGGACTCCTGAAAGAAATCTGGCACGGATTGTGGAAGAGGCAGGATCAAAATCAACAACTGACCAGCAGTGACTTAAATCTCTACCCATAGTATTATTATTCTTGTAATGAAATTGTAAATAAAATATTTTGCGAATTTATTAAATAAGCATTCGATATAACATTAACCGGGCCTTAAAAATATCGTAAAGTTTACCGACAGAGCCTGAAGAAAAATAGATAAAAGTCTGTTTAAAAAGGCGTATTTTCCTTTTTACTTTTATTGGTCGTAAACGCCCGGCATAAGCCCTCTCACACGACCCTAATGGAAAATATTTGGAAATCTGTTTTACAATGTGATTTACGGCCATCGTGGTGGGGATGAACATTAGGGCTCAGTTAAAGCAATATTTTTTATCGGTAAAGGTTTTACTTTCAGCGAGGGATTCCATCCTAGCCATATTGTTTTTAGGCGCCTGTTTTTTCAGCATTTTTGAGATTTCCGCTACTGGAACATTTATCTAAGAAAAATGTAATTTTAATTTAGTATGAGTCCTTTTTTTTTGTTAATGGCAGATTATTTTACGTCATCTCTGAAAGGTAAGTTGGAAAATACCTCAAGAGAAGGAAAAAGAAGTAGAATTAGTTGTTAATCTTAGTCTTCAAGTTAGTTAAGAATTCACCACTTCCATTTTTCCTCAGGGGAGTGTTCTGGGTCCTTTATTTATACCACTTGCACCATACCAAAGCAAATTAGATTTTTCAACGGCTACAATCCGTCCATTATAAATAAAATTATAAATAAAAACAAATCCACACAACAACTCTATTTGTCCGAAATCTAATACAGAACACGAACAATTTAAAACAATTACATGCATAGGAGAACCTAGTGAAAAAGTTTTAAAACATTTGTCAAAATGTGGTTTAAAACAACACAATAGGAAATTTTTTAAAAAACAATAAAACGAAATGTCCAAAATCTCAAAAATCAGGTGTCTACAGGTTGAAATGCGGATCTTGTCCTAAAAATTATATTGGATAAACAGGTAGATCCTTCAAGAAACGCATTAACGAACATAAAAGAGCGTTTAAAAACAATAGTCTAGATTCTAATTATACTACACACTTAAACACAGAAAAACACATTTTTAACGACAATTTTCATAATTTACATACAGCCACAAAAAGTAGAAAATTAAATTTATTGGAAGCCATTCAAATGTATTGCTTAACGATCAATTAGATTTAAATAACTCTCCTTTATTGAACTTAAATTCTCACAACAACATTAATTAAGGTTTTATGGTCATTTTTCGGTATATATAGTAGCAAGTAGTTTGTAAATATAACATTTGATAGACACGGTGTTGTCGAAATAATTGTCATGAAAAAATCTATAATTTCGTGAAAATCTGGACTTTTAGTTCTTATCTATTTTTTTTCTACTACTAATGCTACAAACTGACAGTAAGTATATTTTCAATGAAATCCAAAATGCCCCTGAATTCGTGATCTCAAAACAGGGATAACATTTTAGAAATGGTTACCCACTGAACGTCAAATATTTTCCAGAATTTACTAACGGTCCAGAGTGAAAACCGAAACGTGCAGAAAAAGCAAATTGCTAAAACTACACGAAAATGAACAGTTATCTAATCTGCGTAGGTACAATGATTAACCGCGATATATTGCTACACCTTTTTGCCACGAGTAAAGTTCTGCTTCGGAAGTTAACAAAACCATTAAGAGATAGCAGTTAATTAATATTTAGGCAAACAAGTTTGACAGGATTTAATCAGTAAATATGTATAACGGAGTCGCAACACCGCTATGCCGTAAATTTATCGCAGAGTTTTGGGCGTCTGGCTGTATTGTAGATGTGGTCGATAAATCAGCAACCCCCGGATGAACATCAAACCCGCACTGATAACTCCATATGTTCTGATCGAACGTTTGTAAACTCCAGAGAGATTTTGTTATATAACTGAACATGGAAACAAAATAAAATTGAGATATAGACAAATTTATTGTACTTTTGGTCAGTTTGCCATTAAAATGGTTGGTGTATAAGAAAAATTAACAATTACCAACTAAGAACTTATCAGATCAGGAAAGAATGGTTTACATGAAAATTGACAATATGTATTTTTTTTTAATTGATTACTGCTTAATTTAAGTTTGGTTTTTTTACATTTTCGTGTTTTATTTAAATTACCGTCTACGTTTTCAATGCAATAAAATGACTCTTCTCACAATCGTGTTCCTACTAATTTGTTACTTTTTACAAACGTCCAATAATGTCAACTCTTCTTAACATTAAACTTAATCAAAAGACTATCTTCAATTAGAGTGACATAATATTCATTTTAACCTTACATAGAGTAGTAAAATTACTCAAATTTGATTTTGCATAACACTGCAAATCAAAACAATTGCGGTGTTTCAAAAAATGTTCCCTTCAATCTGGTGTTTTTTTAGGAAAACTGCACTAAAACCTATTTTTAGAACCCAAAGGTTGCACAAAAAAATTCATATTATAAATATTGGTCAAGCTCGCATTTGGCTTTTGTATTTATTAATTTTATTTTTTCATTTTTATTTGTTTGTTCGAAATTTGTTGGTTGAAATTTTCTTGTGGTAATTTTGGCTATCAGAAAAACATTTTTTTCTCCATAACGATTCACCCGATCGGCAAAATTCTTTAACTGGAAAATGCGGAGAGTCCAGTGTTATAATATATATTTCAAGCATTTTTCAGATTATATAAATGATTTTTAAATTATAGTTCTTTTCCAGATTAAAATATTAACCGCAAAGCAAAAATCGTAAAGGCTACAATTCTTGTATTTGCGGTTTTCGTCTATCACACGCACTGCTCGAGAAATTTGAAAAAATCCATATGAAAATCACTATTCCGGGGCTGTCAAGGTGCGACGACGTCGTTGATTATTACAGCGCACAGAAAAATCTTATTTTCCCGAAAACCATTTACTATTTTGGAAAAATTCTTGGACTAGGAAACGTGGAAGATCCAGGGCTATAACCTCCATTTCCGGAATTTTTTCAAATATGTACAGGGTGTATCCATTATGGTAAAAAAAATCTAAGACCCTGAAAATTGCCATTTTCGATAAGTTATTAACCTTAACTGAAAAACATGGGATAATTTGGTTTAAACAGTCTCGGATATCGTGTCGAGAGAGGGAGAGAGTTGCAAGTTTCGTGGATCATACAGGGTGCGCGAGATACTTGGAATGATGTAATTGGAAATCGTTATTACTTGCAAAATTTTTTATATTTATCAAAGTTTGTTGTGACTTTGAACTTCGGCGGTAAGTAAAAAATGCTTTATAACGTGTATGCACAATAAAATTGCATCCAATTTGCGAAAGCTCCATAGTGGTCCGCAGGAGCACGATAGAAAAACAATGCGTTCCTCTATGACAAGAAAGCGCGAAGCGGCTTCTTTTGGAAATAAAGAGCTACTTTTTTTTTCGAAAGCAATCTATTACTACTACTATCTATATTTGTATACTAAGCAATTTTGTTTTTGGTTATGCTTGATTCGCAAAACCTCACCTATTTCTATTTAATCATAAAATCAATTACTATTTAAAATGACTAATGCGTAATTATCCGCAGTTCTGCAGTACATTTCTAACCGATGATCACAATCTTTGCAAATATGTTTTGATGGTATACTATAACACGAAAGTTAACACTTAACAAGTCAAAAGATCTCCTCATTCATTTGAATTGCTCCATAATTTGCTTGAGGCTAAGAACCAACAAAGTAGGGATGAAATTATTCATCTCCTTAAGGATGATATAGACCGTTTGAAAGGAAAAGTGATTGAAATTAGTAAGGTGCAACCTACCTACGCAAACATACCCGCTAAAAAGACTGGTGTTTTGCCTAAAACATTGAACATAATCAACACGCCTAGTCTGATAATAAAACCAAAAGGAGATCAAACTGTAGAGGAGGTGAAATCGTATATTATAGATAAAATTAAACCAGCAGATATAAGTATCGGTTTCAATAAAATTAGAACAACTGCATCCGGAAAATTATCAATTAGATGTAGATCAAAGGAAAACATGGAAAAGCTAAAGTGCCCATGAAATCCTTCAGAACTACGAAGTGGAAGAAGTTAAGCTAAGGCCCCCGCGGATCAAAATATTGAATTACACTGAAAATCTAAATGCTGATCAGATTGAACATTCTATAAAAAAAACAGAATAAGTTTATAGATAACGAGGATAGACTGGAAGTGAACTATATAAAAAGGACAGAAAACAGAGGGTCGACAATTTTTGTGGAGTGTTCTCCGAATTTGTTTAGCAAGCTAATATATAATGTTTGGGAGCGATACATTGCCATAGAGAACTTGTCTGTTACAAGATATTTAAAATGTCAGAGATTTTATCATAAGAGTAGTGAATGCACAAAGAATATCACAAGTGGTGGTAGTCACCCAAAGCAAGAATGCATGATTAAGAAGTGTGTCAATTGTGTTGAAGCAAATGGAAAATATGTTGAATAGTTACTCACGTTTTTAGAGACATTTCAGTTTTCAGTTTGAATCTGTTTCACATTTTAACATTCCTCATTACAAAACGCATTAAAATTTGAGACAAGATAATAGAAATGATGGAGTGCTTGTGTTTATAAAGTCATCCAACATTGTAGTAAGTAGTAAGATTAGAAATTAATAAAATAAAATATGGAGTTAGTTCTATGTACAGAT